GTTTGATCTTGCGATATGGTGGAGCAACGGAAGTTGTTTGATGCCTCGTTGTGGATTTCATGCCAAGGTGAAGATTGTTGGATTTGGCATTAAATCATGCCTAAACTAAAACAAGAATCAAACAAGGATTAGGATATCTTAGATGCAAGATATTTGGATTTGTGTTTCCTAGTTGGTTTAGGATTTGGTTTTAGTATAGGATTTGGTTTCCTATATTCTAGGGACTTTGTGTAAACCTATGACATCTATTAGTATAAATAGATGGATGTGAGATAGAGTTTTGTGTGTGAGAGTTTTTGAGAGGCATAAATTTGTATACTTGAGAACACTTTGTGTTTGTGAGTTCTCTTGTATTTGTTGGTAATCTATAAAGCTTATGTTGTTAGAGAGGTACTCCTATATTGGATGAACTTTGAAATCGTTGTGCTTTGTTTATTGCTTGATTGGTTTTTGATTTAGTTTACAACACAGACGAAAGAATTTCAGACACTAGTTTCAGTTAGCAAGGCAAGACAAGTCATTGTGATGCGTAGACAATGTGTGATTTAACTTACGCTTTACGGGAGCATTGATATGATTAAGTCACGAAATTATCAGTTGTTAAACACCCCAATTAAATTATACGTAGACAAATTGAAAGACTGCAAAAATTCATTCAAGGGCCAGTTTATTTATTCAATGTACCACATTCAAAATCAATCAAAATTCATCTGTGAACTGTCGTACAATATATAGTCCCTCCCTTGATGATATATAGGCTTGGGTCTCTCGGCAGTAGACTTGGTATTGCTTACTTGATGAGAAAGAAAACTTTGTCTCCAGCTTTGTCTGCAACTCCTGAGTAGCACTGCAAAGTTTGTTGATCTCGCCTCTGGTGTCTATTGCAACTTTTTCCATGTTCCTCATCACTTGGATCATGGTTCTCTGCAGCTCCTCGTTCGACGCTTGCTTCCATATGATGAAGGGTTCTTCAACTCGTTTGTGATCAACAATTTCTCAATCATAGTGGACGCCGCTGGTTTTCTTAATTGTCATTTCAAATACATCTTTGTTAAAATATCAATCAAATTGTAGATCACTTGGTCGTTAATATGTATCAAATAAATGCGGTTTGTTATCAGGATCTTAATTGTTATCAAAACCATCAATCTATTAGTTGTGCTTTATGGGGTGTCCAAAACCATCAAAATACTCATTCCCACAAGTAGAGAAGCTCCACTAAGAATTCATTCAAGAAAGGTATGTATTACGAAATATTTCTTAGCAAAGTGTTGAAGTTGCAATACAAGGACTCCCTTCCTCTACGGGACTTTACAATTGAAGTAAAATTCGAGGTCTATGAGTCGCGAGAGTAGGTCAAATAACTTACAAGAGGCATATGAACAGGACCGCTAACCAATATCACTTTGCGATGTTTATCCTGCAGGTCGAAGACTATCGAGATTGAGTCCCACCTTAAATGCAAAGACATGCAGTGTTATTGTATCGACTAACCCACTAGGTGGATACTCATTACCTTTATACCTAATCCTTAAACAAATTAATGGGTTCTACTCCAAAATTAGCGAGCACCTATCCGTGACTTCTTGGTTCAGAAACTTGGTGAACCTTTCTGGCTTCGGCACTTGAAAACTGCCCCACTACACGAGCGTGAGGTATGGAAGCTTCTCCACGGGCGAGAGCATCCACATTTTCAAGCAGGTACTTCTCTGGAAGCCTGCCTACTACGTTACCCTCTTCGTTTCCCGCTTTATCTAGGAACGCAAAGTGTGGAATTCCCTCAACACCAAACTCATCAAGCTCCTGTTCCCACTTTGTGTTGTCTACGTTCAGCATAACAAAATTTACACGACCCCTGCGCACAATAATTGGTGAATAATGAAAAATAATAGTAGATCTACTTTAAAAGAAGAAACTGTGAAGCGTTCTAGTAGAGATGCAAATTTTAAGTAATAAAAAGTCAGAACTTGAAGATCATACTTATACTTCTGCTCAACTTTATAGACATCTGGAGCTAATTCCCTGCATACTTCACACCAATCGGCATAGAACTCAACAACAGTAGGCTTCCCATTTGAAAGAGCCTAATCAGCGATAAATTACAGAAGATCGTAAGAAACTATTCACATTGAAGATCATGTCTAGATTCATTAACACACATGTACATGCTGGAAAACACAAATTAGATGACTGAAGACAAGGGAATTAGAGTGATTGTACGTTCAAATTACTACATTCTCCGAGTTAGAGCATAAAAATCCCGTTGCAAATTACAATTCATTGCGGAATAAGGTCTGAACCTCACTACTGAAATGGTTCATTTGTGCTTAAAACATCTATGTTATTGTTTGAGGGTTTATACTTATCTAGGTTCTCAATCATGCTAGGACAGAGTAAAAAGGGAATGGCAAATCGAACGAATCTCTTCATAAGGTAATGCCGCAACGGAGAGGTCCTTCAAAGAAACACCAAAATGGAGCCTTGCGGATAAGAAAGTGCCAGAGCTGCAAGAGTGGAAACCACCGCTACTTGCCTGTTGGTATTCTTGTTTGGAAATTCCGGAGGGCCAGAGCTCGTGGAGGAACTCGTGGCTTGACTGCTGGTATCACTGCCAGAGACTGGCTCAACAACTGACTTCTCCTGAATCAGAATAGTTGATGAACACAGCACCAATCACAAAGTAAATTCAACTCGAAAAACTCTTCGAACAAGAAATTGAGCCAACAACGATTCAGATACGCAACGATTAACGAAACCAAGGACATGCAGGATAGTTTAGGGAAGTTTTACTAAAAAAAAGAATCTTATCAAGATAATAACTATTTTCGGTTGCCCAAATCCTAAATTTCATATAAATGTAGAAATCACGGAAATTCCAACTTTCTCCATCAAAACAACAACTTTAAGCTTCACAGCTGAAACCCAGAGAGGATAAATCGGGAAACATGCAAATTATTGAAAAGGGAACAATTTACAGTCGTGCAAATACTGGTTTACGCGAGAAAGATGGGAGATTTTGGAGGGAAAGAAAGAGCGTACCGTCGTGGAGGGGTCGGATGGATTGGGGGTTTGCTGGCAAGAAACGGTCGGAAATCGGCGGTGGTGGGTTGGGAAGTGGATAGAGGGTTTAACGTAGCGGGGAAGTGGAGGAGTTTGGAAACATGGCCGGAATCTATGGAAGCCAACTGGGTTGGAAGCCACGCGAGCCATTTGTAATTTGCAGATAATCTGCCAGCGTTCTTTTGTAATTTGCAGTAAGCCATTTGTAGTTAGCGTGAAAGGAATTGGATTTTGGCGCCATCTTTAGTTGAGTACGAGATCATCACTCTTTAACGACTTTTTGGTTTTACGATTTTTATGAAAGCAATGGTGCTCCTCATCCGTCGTCGTGGCACATACAAATGCCCTACAAATTGCCAAACGCAGAGCCTCACGAAATCCACCATCGTCGTGTAATTACATGCATAATTAGCAATAATTCTCCTTCATTAGCTCGCAATTAAATACTTCAAGATTACAACTTACAGTACAATCCCATTAATCCAGATTTCGCACAGAAAAATTACGAACAGATACAAATGAAATCGAAATTTCAATTAACGATTTCTAACTAACGCTCCGGCCCCAGAATCCCACTCACAACCGAAGTTGCCACCAAAACCCCCGCAACCTCCGCTCCCGCCACCGCTCCAGCCTGCGCCAAACCCCCGAAGCTCAACGCCGCTTCCACCCCTTCCTCCGCCGTTTCAATCCCCAGCTCCGCCGATTCTAGCCCCTTCTCCGCCGTTTCCAGCCCCTTCTCCGCCGCCTCAATCCCTTCCTTCACTATCACCTCCGCCTCCTTCTCCGCCTCCTTCACCTTCCTCCTCAGCCCAAACAGCCCGATGTCTTCCGCCTTCGCCTCCTTCGCACACACAGCCGCAATCGCCGCCGTCCACGTCAGCGACAGCGCCAGCTGTCTCCGCCCGGATAATGCGAGTCCACTCGGCGGCGCAGGCTTCGGAACGTGCGCCGGGGAGGAGGAGGAGCTGCGGTGCGCATTGCGCGCTGGGTGGAGAGCGAGTACTGAAGCTCTCGCAGCCATGTCTTTTCTCTCTGAAAGTTTTGCGAATTTTGATACCACACGCTAACTAACTAAATCCTCGAGTTATTTATTTACAGAATTTTAACGAAAAATTTTTAATATTATTTATTTTAACAAAAAATAATTAAATTTTTATTCTAAACAGTCAATTCTAGTACTATTTATTTACAACACATCTTTGTTCTTTTCATTAAAACTTAAAATTTTCAAGCATTTTTCATTAGTTCCCTTTTATTTAATGACTAAATTATACTTTAATCAAATTGGAGTAATGGTTTCTCAATTAAAAATTCATTACCATTGGTCCTTCAACTCATCAAAATGTGTAGCTATGGTCATTTTCGTCAACTTTGTTAAAATTTTGTCAAAAATAAGTTATGTTGAAAGGACTAGTGCCACAATTGGGGTCCATCAACTCATCAAAAGTGTAGCTATGATCATTTTCATCAAATTCGTCAGAATTTGTCAAAATGAATTATGTTGAAAGGACCTCCGCTCCATCCCTCAAAAGGTGTAGCTACAATTGGGGTTCATCAACTCATCAAAATGTGTGGCTACAATTGGGTTAAAGTTGAGGGACCATTGATTCAATTGGGTTAAAGTTGAGGGACCATTTCTCTAGTTGAATTAAAGTTAAGGGACCAATGGTAATGGATTTTTAGTTAAGGGATTATAGCTATACGTTTTAATGAGTTGAGCAACCAATGGTAATGGATTTTTAGTTGAGAGACCATTGCTCCAATTAAGCTAAAGTGAATAGACAATTGCTGGAATTTACTCTTATTTAAATGACGAATATACCCTTGGCATTGTGACCGCACCAGAACGCAACAAAATGCTCCGTTTCGAGGTTCATAAAAGACAAAAACGAGGTTTTCATTTTCATTTTCATTTTCCCTCTACAAAAATTTCGGGGTTTTTTTCTGATCGAGTTCTCTACGTTTTTGCGCCAAGAAAGAGAGGGTTTTTGAAACGATGGTAGAAGAAGCACCAGCGTCGGCGTCGGCGACGGCGACGGCGAGCGAAACCCTAACCCAAACCGCCGCGCTGGAGGCACAGAGGTCGAATGAGGCCACCATCACGGAGGTAGCTCAGGGAGGCGCCGAGTCCACTTGCAACAACGACCGCGCGGAAGCTTCAGCTGTCAGCTCCGATGGAGATCGTGAAAAGTCGCTCGAGTTCGCCGACGAGCTGATTGAGAAGGGCTCCAAGGCGGTCAAGCACTCTAATTACGGCGAAGCCACCGAGTGCTTCAGCCGTGCCTTGGAAATCAGGTTAGGGTTTTTTATTTCCCTGATTTTCCTTGCTTGCCTTACGTAACATTCTTCGTGTTTTCTTAGAAATTGAGTATTTCGGGTGTATGTGATGCTGTAAATATTGTTGCTTTTGTTAATATTTCTTGGATTTTGCTTCCCTCATAAACCCTAACTTTTGGTCAGTTTTGATTTGTTGCGTTGCCGTCGGTAAAGGTGTTAGACTCTGTAGGGATTGTACAATTTGAATTATTCTTTTTCAATTTGCATTTCTTTCGTTAGTCAAGCCAGTGTGCCGGTATACTCATTTTCATATTTTGAAGATTTTGTATTGTGCTGTTGAGCCCTGCTAATACAACTATTTGGTTGCCAAATTGTGCATTTGTTGGAGTCCAATTCCTTTGCCCTGTTATATCGTATTGCATTTGTTTAACCATGGCTTAAAAAATTTACATATTCGCAAGATACATTAGTTAAGGTCTTAGACTCTGTTATATTGTATTGCATTTGTTTAACCATTGCATTTCTTTCATATTCATGTTGTAGTTAAATTTTTATTATTATTTGTACTCTCATAAAATCTGCATTAGTTAATTCACAGATTGCCTGTGTGCTTTTCTTAGGTGCTCCTCTTTTTCAGAAGCGCATTAGGTATGCTAATCAGTAATTACTATTGATTATGTCAATAAATCCAGGGTTGCACATTTCGGTGAACTTGCTCCTCAGTGTGTCAGTGCGTACTATAAATATGGATGTGCATTGCTTTACAAAGCTCAAGAGGAGACTGATCCATTGGGTGCTGTACCCAAGAAGGAGGACGAGTCGCAGCAAGAATCTGCTAAGAATGGTGTAAATGGTGAATCTTCCACAGCTTCTGTTTCATGTAATGCCGAACAGGATGCAAGTTTGAGTAATCAGGAGGGAGCAGCTGATGATGGTGGTATGTCATTTGTAATTATTGTTGAGTATAATTGTCGAATAGAACATTTCTCAATCATGAACATTTATGAATGATTGGGCATTGAATTCCAAACCATCTTAACTAAAAGTAAAAGCTATTCAATGTAGCTCTTTGTTTTTTGCATAAATGTTGCACATGTATGAATATGATGTCTTCATCACATATAATGTAATGAGATTCTAGTCATGTACTCCTGTAAAAATTGGCATCGTTGACTACTGTTGATACACATGAGACACTTTGTCTACCTCTCCTGGTGGCACCGTAGCTGCTCACACAGATCTGCTCCACTCCAACTCTTCAACTTCAAATCCATTGGAAAATCAAATGAGTCATGCCTTCTGTTTGGGAACAGATCATGAGTCTCATATCGTATTTTAGTGTAGGGATAATAAAATCTGTCAAGAGACACTGTTTTGCCCATTGATAAACCGGTAGAAAAAATCTAGACTTCTATCCTGTGTTTGTGTTTGTGTTTGTCATGTCTTCTAGTTTAGATATTTGAGGAAACGTAACATCATATTGTCAATGTTTTAGATAGTCATTTAGTGTGTTTAAGAAACTCATGTGACATTAAATTCCATGGAAGATATGGAGAAATAGAGTCTAAATAGCTGAGAAGGATATAAGGACATAAGTTTAGGTATACACAGATTGTATCAGATGATACTTTCTGTCCCAAAACTGATTATTGAGGATATCTCATCATTATTGTTATCATTGCATTATGAAGTTTAACAGTTCATTTCCTTTTCTGATGCAGTTTCTGGTGGAAAAGACCAGGATGAAGATGGTGAGAATAGCGATGATGCGGACCTGGCTGAAGCAGATGCAGATGAAGATGAAACTGACCTTGATTTGGCATGGAAAATGCTAGATGTAGCAAGAGCTATTGTTGAAAAACACCCGGCTGACACAATGGAGAAGGTGGACATATTATCAGCTTTGGCAGAAGTTGCATTGGAAAGAGGTATGTTATGTGCTCAGTTTAGTTGAATTGAGATCTGTATATCGTAATCGAAGAGATTCTTGAACTTCACTATAATTTTTTGGTGCATTTCTTTTGAAAATACCTTATTTGGCTTTACATTGTGTCTCCTTGTAGAGGACATTCAAACTTCTCTCAGTGACTATGAAAAAGCACTTTCCATTTTGGAGCGGTTGGTTGAGCCTGATAGCCGACGTATAGCTGAACTGTATCCTTTTCAAGATCGACATACAGCCTTTGAGTTCATAACTGTTACTAATAACAGATCCTTTTCTATATTTTTGTTTTATTTTATTTGGGTTTCTCCCGTTCCCACTGGGTAAGGGACTCATGACCTTAACTGGAGAATTCAGAAATTTTCGAATATGTTTGTGTCTAGAGATTGGCTCCGAGCCTGAGGAAGCCATTCCGTATTGCCAGAAGGCTATATCAACCTGTAGGTCTCGTGTGCGGCGGCTCATGCTTGAATCAAGGAGTTTCTCGGAGTCCACAACATCGTCGTCTGCTTCTGTATTGGAGCCTGGTGTCACGCTTACCTCAAATGTTACCGAGTCTGATAATAATGTGACGGATAAACAGGCAGAGATTGAAACACTAACTGAACTCTCTGGAGATCTGGAAAAGAAGGTTTCTAATAATTTTTTCAACCTTAATTTTAAAATTGGAAAACATTCAGGCTTATATTTTCTGATTTTTGTATTCTTGAGCATGTAGCTTGAAGATCTGCAACAGTTGGCGTCAAACTCAAAATCCATTCTCGCTGAGATTCTGGGATTAGCATCTGCCAAGGCAAAAGGGACTGAGAAAAGTGAATCTTCAGCAGTGGTGAGCTCTTCAAGGATGGGAACTGCTGACAACAATGGAGGTTTCGACTCCCCAACTGTTTCTACTGCTCATACAAATGGAGCTTCTGGAGTCACACATCTTGGTGTGGTGGGAAGAGGAGTCAAGCGAGTGTTGATGAACGCAGGCTCGGGAGAATCAAGCGCATCGAAGAAGCCTGCTTTGGATTCATCGGAAGATAAGGGTGAGGGCAACGTGTCGTGAAGGTCATGGATTCCGGTAAATGTATGGACAGAATTGAGAAATCTTGGTTAGATTCTGGATTCTAGTATTATATGCGGAGTAATTCCTATTAAAGTTTAAGCTGACTTGTAGATTTTTGTATGATGATAGACCATACTATTTAGATTTGAGATTGTGAACACCTCACTGCCCGTGTTTCCATTTGACTAAAAGTTCATGCTGGTTTGTGTTCGATTTCGAAGAAATGGTAATGTACAAGTTGGAAGGTTAGCATACCATCTCTTTCTCATACTAATCAAAGTTCTAGAAATGCTCTCTTTTTTCAACGTTCTTCCTGGTTGATCATAATCTTGCAAGCTCCATTTACTTAGGGTTTCGTCTTCAGAATTTATCATGTCTATTTACTGAAGAAAAAAGTTGTTACAAGTTCATGAATCGATGGGCGAATTTAGCCTTTATTGTTTGTGTCCAAGTAAAGTATCATTTAGTTTATAAAATTTAGTTTTAAAATTTAGTCTTCCTAGTATTACCCTTTTATATAATGTAATCAAGAAAAGTTAAAGGGAGAATGAAATGTGAAATGAAATTCTGCAATTTTTCTTTCATAGTACATAGCACTGAGTGATCTAGAAAATCAACATTTAGATCTTACATATAGGAATTAATGGATCTTGTAACGATTATATCTTATATAAAAGTCGTATTACTAAGCGGTACGTTGTACCAGGACCCAAAAGTTTGGACCTAAAACTCTTAACGATTGTCGCACTGGGCAACTAGTAGGGGGCAAAGAACCGGCTAATCGGTCAAACGAATTGAACTGGCCTGAAAATCTCGTTTTTTATTATAAAATACATTTTTTATATTTTCACGGAACAATCAGTTTGTTTTTGGTTTTCAATTTTCCCGAACCAGGCCAACCGGCACGGGTTTTCAATTTAGTCGAAGTTTTAATGAAAAGAGCTTGGGTCAACAAATATTTAACCAAAAATCATCTTAAAATGTTATTTAACAAAAAAAATTCAAAGTTTAATAAAAAAAAAATCATCCAAAACTATTGTCTACCTATTCCGTGCCCTTATCCTCATCTTCCTCGTCATCGTCCTCATCCTCATCTTCTTATCAGCACCATGAACAATTTATAGTGTTATTATTTTATTCCAATTAGATCCAATAAGGACCTACAGTCCCGGTGATGTACGTACATATCAGACGTCTGTAAATAGGGAAAAAAAATAAAAAAACCAAAACATAAAACTGTTTCTGCAAAACCCAAAACATAACACTATTTCTGGAAAAAAAATCAGATACAATGTTTGTTTTTTCTATGCACAAACAAACATTGTATCTGGAAAGAAAAGAACCAAAATCTAGAACCAGTGACTTAAATTCCAGAAACAGTCTATGTTTTAACCTTTGATTGTTTCTTTTCTTTCACGCATCAATTGTTATATTTAAGAAACATGATGCTTATTTTGCTTTGAATCCAAATACAATAAATTTTACTATTTCTTTTCTAGCTTACATTTAAGAAACAGTGTGTCTATTTCATTTGGATCCAGAAACAGTTTATTTTTACAGTCCATAAACAGTGACCCGTCGTTATTATTGAATAATATGCATACCTCAAATTTATTTTCTGGAGAAACAAACGATGAACTCCACTAACGAAGAAAATTGAAAAACAGTACCTCGAATACTTTATGAATAATAACGATGATCACTTTTCAAGGAAATAAAACAAAATATAAATTAAATAGCATGAGGATCTATATTTTTGTTTCAAGGAAAAAGAAAAAGGTCTGCAAAAGAACGATGAACTCTATTAACGACAAAAATCTGGGACTCAACCTACAAAAGTTAGGGGTAAAATCGACAAATCATAATTTATTATAGTTAGGCTATTTTTAGTTGAACTACTTTAATGTGGGCCTTGTACTAATCATTAAACAAAACTTATAACATGGTTTTTTATTAAAACTAAAATTTTTTAAGCCTTTTTCATTAGTTTTCCTAAAAATTAAATTATAGCCAAAAGCCCATCCAGCACAAATAAGAAAGATGAAACAAAAAACCCTAATCTCCAGAATCCCTAATCAAATTTTGCCACTAAAATCACCACACGGGAAGAGAGCCAACGAATCAGAGCCACCATCAAATGCCCCTACAAGTAGAACCAAAAACAAAAAATAATGGAAGGGGGATGGGGATCGGGCTAACCAGCTAAGGGGGCATTTAAAACACAACACACTGGCCCCGATTTTCTGGCATGCCAGTTGGGGTGCGGAATAGTGAAGGGAGGATTCGAATCTAATTTCCAAAACAAATGTGTTGTTTCTAGCTTTGAGCAGAGGTTGAAGGAGGGATGATATGTGAGGAGCAACCAAAGGAGAAGATGACAAAAAAATAGGTGTTGGGGGTTGAAGATAGGGGCTGCATGTTGGAACCTAAGGATGAACACTCAAGAAAACTTGTAAATAAATGTTTATTTGTGCACTCAATAGCTGGGAAAATATATGTTATTCAAGTGAAAGAGCAACAATGGCGTTAAATAACCTTACAAGAAAACTGAAAGCTAGAAATAAGCAGCTCACATTTTAACAAACCTAATAACGTGGTACACGACTAAAGTTAGAAGCAAACTAAACAACTTGTCCCTAAAGAATTGAGACTGCTAACAACTACTGAAAACAATCCTACAAACTAGGAAACCTAACCTTAACAGCTAGGAAATCTTAACAACTTCAACATCCTCCCTTAAACTGAATACTATCAACAATCAGTTTACATCTATGAGTGAGCAAACACTCATTAACTCCCGCAGTTTCAAAAACACATCCAGCTTCAATGGTTTGGTCATGATATCCGCTACCTGCTCCTGCATAGAACATTGAACCAGTTCCACGACTTCATTCTTGGTGAGCTCTCGAAGAAGATGGAAGTAAACATCTATGTGTTTGCTGTGACCACGCATCACTAGATTCTTTGAAAGCTTAATAGTAGAACTATTATCGCAATAAACCCTTCTGGATTTGCACTGTTCATGACTAAGCTGCTGCAAAATCCTTCTTAACCTAATTGCTTGACACGCACTCGATGTTGTAGCTATAAACTTAGCTCCAGTGGTAGATAAAGTACCACAGGTTGTTTCTTCGAAGACCATGAAACTTCCCCTGAACTCAACATAAAAGCATACCTTGAAGTACTCTTCATATCATCTTAATCTACAGCATAATCACTATCTGTGTACCCAATGAGTTCTTCGTTTCCTCTCTTCTTATAGAATAACCTAAAACTCACCGTGCCCTTCAAGTACCTCAACACTCTCTTCGTTACTTTAAGATATAGCTCAATAGGTCGTTCCATTAACCTACTAATTAAACTGATAACATTCATCATATCAGGTCGTGTGGCAGTCAGGTACATGAACTTCCTACAATTTGTTTGTGCAGAGTGCTATCAATTTTTATGCCTCATTCATCTTTCATCATTTTGAAGCCAGGAATAATAGGATTATGAACTCCATTCATTCTTTTAACAAACAAAGTGTGTTCATGTGGGGACTTCTCGAAACCTTCCTTCGTGAAATAGGTCTCAATGCGGTTGTACCAACCTCGATGAGCTTGTTTAAGACCATATAAAGCCTTTTTAAGCTTATATACCTTGTGCTCCTGCCCTTTTTGTTCATAGCCACTAGGTTGTGCAACGAACACTTTTTCATTCAAATCTCCATGGAGGAACGTCGACTTGACATCTAATTGGTAAACTATCAAATTATTATGAGATGCAAGTGATAATATGACACGAACTGTATCCAAGCGAGCTACAGGTGCGAACGCTTCAGCATAATCCACTCCTTATTTTTTACTATACCCTTTTGCAACCAAGTGAGCCTTGTATTTGTCCACTTCACCTTTCTCGTTAAGCTTTGTTTTGTAGAACCATTTTACCCCAATCACTTTTCCTCCTGATGGCATGTCTGTCAACTCCTACGTATTATTTCTTTCTATGACCTTAATTTCTGAATCCATAGCCTTCTTCCACTTGTCACTTTTCACTGCTTCCTCATAAAAGATGGGATCAATATCAGCAAACAAAGCTAAGTGAGCCATGTCTTCCTCCTTAAACAGACCGTCTCCCCTTACATAGTCTCTCATCCAAGCTGATCGTCTTATGACTCGTCCTTCAATGTTAGTGTCTTCTGGTTAGTAATCTTGATATGATTCCTCACTCTCTAGTACTACTTCATCAATCTCATATTCCTTTACATTGTTATCATCTCCTAGACCTTCTTCTTTATCTATTTCCTACTCAAGATCAGCCATGATTGCTTCTATGTGATTGTCGCTCCAGTCCCAAGCTTTATCTTCTTCAAAAATCACATCTCAGCATATCACTATTTTCTTAGAAATTGGATCAAATAGTCAATAAGCCTTGGATTCTTCGCTGACTCCAAGTATGATGCATTTCATACTCTTGTCATCAAGTTTAATCCTCTTACTATCAGGAACATGTAAGTGTGATAGACACCCAAAAACGCTAAAGTGTTTTACTGATGGTTTGGAACCACTCCAAGCTTATTCTGGTGTCATGTTTCTTAGAACTAGCATTGGACTTTTGTTGAGTACATGGATGGTCCAATTGACTACTTCTGACCAGAAAGTTTGTGGATTTTTTTTTCTCTGAAAGCATGCTTCCAACCATATTCATAATGGTTCGATTTTTTCTCTCTGCGACGCCATTGTGTTGGGGAGTATAGGCAGTGGTCAATGGCCCTTGAATTCCATGCATGTTGCAAAAATTTGTGAACTCGAATGAGGTGAATTCACTTCCAAGATCTATATGCAGACTCTTTATGCTTGAACCAGTTTCTTTTTCAACCCTAGCCTTGAAGTTTTTGAAAGTACTAAAGGCTTCTGATTTGTCAGCCAAGAAATATACCCATGTCTTTCTACTGTAATCATCGATAAAGGTAATGAGATACCTTTTCTTACTGTTGGAGATCGGATTAATGGGGCCACATGCCAACATGTACAAGTTGAAGAGTATGAGATGCCCTTTATGCATTCTTCTTCGGGAATGGATCTCTCTGCTGTTTCCCCACCAAACCCTCTTCACAAACCATTGCGTGAACCTTGAACTTTGGTATGCCCTTCACCATATTCTTTTGTTAAAGAATTTTTAGGCCGCTCAAACTCAGATATCCATATCTATGATGCCACAGTTGGGGTTGATCTTCTACAATAGTGTTAAAACACTTCTGTTCTTGT